GATGCTTGAAACGATTTTGTGAACCACTTAACTTTGTAGTAGTAATATATGTAGATCATCAAATTGTCAGAAATTTTTAAATAAGAGTTAGTCAGCCATGATCACCTAAGTTGATTTGAAGTATAGTGGTTAAATTTTCCCACAATGAACTCAAGAAGTATTATGATGTCAGTACGATTCACTAGGCTTTACCTCCAAAGAAGCAGGAATGGATTGCAGTTTTGACCTCGCCTCATCGTCTCATCAGCACTCTCATTGGAATTCGATACCAGCTCTAGCACCAGTTGCTGGGTAGTGGACTAATAACGATATCGCGATAGTCACGACTCGGTATAGAATCTCGTTGAGGGTGCTGATGCTGATGCTAATGACGAGTATGGTTATGATGCGAAAGCTGCTGCTATTGCTAATGATGATATTGATGACGCTGCGGTTGATGATGACGCTGATTATTCTCCTACTGATGATGATGAGACGATGTCGAAACTGCGCTCCACCCTAACTGAGATGGAATAGTCTGTTGGAAAACCCCACTATTAGTACTTAAATTATTTAAAGCATTCTAGGCAAAATTCTTTTAGAGTTTCATTCAACCTGGGTAAGAAAAAGTGATGAAAAAATGATAGCTCTAAAGATCGCTTCGAAACCTAATATAAAAAAATACAATTTATTCTAGTCGAAAAAAAAGTAAACTGTGAGTAGATCTACGGGTTCCAGTGACGTACCAGGCAGAAGCACCCATTGAGTGGGTGTGCTCGGCCGGCCCAATTGCTTGCGGCCAACTAGCGAGACTCGGAATTGTACAGCGGCCTGCGACAGCCCCTGTAACGGCAATGGTGACAATAACGACAAGCTTGGCCTGCCAGTAGCTTGGACCTTTGTCGACTCCACTAGAGATGAGGGGCCGAGACGACGACTAAGCCGAGGCTTCATGGTAGACCAAATCTGGCGATTTGAGTTGGAGGCATCCAAAAGCCTGACGTTGGCTGGAGTTGCTGCGAGTGAAGAAGCTTTTTGTGAAGAATAAGCGGTTTCGAGCTTCCAGTCCTCTTGCTCCTTCTGATAAACATGTTCCTTATCTGCTCTTTCGTCCTCGTCGCTTATGGCAATTGTGGTATCCTCCTCTATCCCAGCGGTAACAAGAAGGCTAAGTTGAGGACTATCAAGGGAAATGTGCAGATCTCGTGCGGTGCCGGGCAGTACGGCTAGGGTGCGCCAAAACCTGGGCGAAACTGGAGGAAAGTGGAGGATGAAGAGAATATTTAATGGTGTAATGAAGAAAGCATACGATAACATTACCGAGAATGGTGCCAGCAGATAGAATACTAAAAATGATAAAACCTTCTTGCGAACTCACAAAGATGCATATGATATTGCATCGCCCTGGTGGTCTCTGCCAATAGGCCATTAAAAAATATATACCATATCAACATATTCCAAACACTAGTGGGAGTTTATTTCTATTAAACCCATCCGAGAAGAATGTGTACTTTGTGGTCGCCTAGATAGGAAATAAGAAGTAAAAGTTTCAAATGGTGCGCATGCCAGGTTCATCGCAAAAGTCACTAAGCGTGGTAAAAATACATACTAAAGTTTAATTCTAGATATGAATCCAAGATGGTGGGATCTCCATTTTAGTCCCCTTAAGTTGTATAAAATTGGTCTGAACTTAATTTCGTAAATTTGTCACAATGTCAGCACGACCCTGAAGGATGTATCTTTTTAAGCGTCTTCCGTCATAATAAATGTGATGATTTCTGGTATCGGGCCATGAATTTTGTAAACTTCCAAACGTTTCGTTATCCTTAGCACTGAGCTAAAAATCGTCAAACCAATAGGTCTAAGTATAGAAGATCCTATTGATGACATGAGATTTCTTTATTTAAAAAAATATATTATTTGAGTAGCTTAGATTTAAAGGATATCAATTTTGACGTACTAAAGCTTGGTACAAAGGAAGCTGCTGTTCACTGACGATGCTGACTATGATGAAGCGTCTAAGAATGTAGCCAGTCAAAGATTCTACGATAAAGGATCGCATGGCAATAGTGGTAAAGAAGGGAGTCCGAGATACGCCTTCGAAGTATCTCTATAAACATTACTAAGGTGCAGAAATCAGGTCAAATCAACCATATACATCGAAAGGAGACCGGGAGAAAATCTGAGGCAACACTATCCTGGTATTCATGCTAACCCTGAAAACTCCATCGCTGATGCAAACGGTAACAATGCCAAACTTAAAATGGGTACACAAGGGTAACTCGACAAATTGACTTCGATGACAGATTTAGCCTCATTGCGTGTAAAGCCGTGCGAGCAGGCGCCTTTTTTCTGTATCCAAGTACATATAAATTTGGCAGTAAGTAGATGAAACTACAGAAGTTAAGCTTTTTGATACATGCAACCGTGAATCTGTATTTTATACAAGGCAACCCGGAGCCTAGGCTAGCATGGAAACGATAGATGGTGATGAAAAGAGCTGCTTTTACTCCGCTTAACGTAGCCCGTAAACTAACAAGGTGAAGCGACCACGTCCTAGGCTGCTATTTATCATTCCAATTATGGAAAAGTCCCCATCCAATGTCATAGCGATGTTTATATTTTTATAAGACTAGCAAGAAAGGCTATTATAATTCCAAGGGAATCAGTAAGTAATATTCTAAAAATAAAGCAATAGTAAGGACAGAATAGAGACTAGAGGGTTTGTACAACTGATTTAATGACAAAAAAAGAAATATGGCGACGGAATTGAGCTCCTTATTTCCCCAAAAATATATGCATTACGAAGCCCATTATTGTTAAGCTTGCGAGGTTCGGCAAAATAAGCATACAATACCACAGAGAAATTAAGCCAGCTTAAGTTAATTTGAGCTCACATAGTTGTATTTAATTCAAGTAACTGGGGCGTATAATTTATTATTTCTAGTGCTATTGAGTTTCGTGCATCTAGCTATTTTAAAATTAGCAAGCATTTTCAAAAACGAATGAAGGATGAGTCCTGATTTATACTATTTACGTTGGCCCGAATATAATTGTAAAGAATATGGGACATAGTACGATAATCATAATCAATTAGAGATTTATAGAGGGACAAAGTTATATATCCAACATTAATAAGAAG